GTGTAAAACAAACTATAGCGGATCAGCACCAGCTATTGAGCCGGAAGGCGCAAAGCGTATATTTGAGCACTCAGTAAGTTCATGTAAACGTCAGTGTGATGAATTGTTTGGTGATGGAGAGAGCAAGAGCTTTAGTGTAATTGAAAACATGCAGTTTGCTCATTTTAAGCTTTCCAGATGCCTATTCTAGCCTTTAAATTAGGTTTGTTTGATGAGAAAATATCTACAAATATTTTAAACTTAATTTTCTCAAATTGTAAACTCGAGAGCTGGCAAAAATTCTCTTGGGTTTGCAATTTATCCAATCTAGGTGGAAATTTTCAGCATTTACTCATTACTACTAAATCTGTGATGTGAACCTAAAAAATACCATGAGCAAGTTATACTCACCACAGGGTAACCCTATTATTGAACTCCGCACCCTCATATTTTCATTCATCTATAAAGAAGCGTAAAATTTATACACTTTATGCCTGCAGCTAAATATTTTTTTAGGTTCACATCATAGATAGGTCTATTGTGTATCAATTAAAGCTGTTTGGGAGATCATGAGTAGTTTACTTTGACTCCTATCATTTTTGGCGCAAACGCCATATTTTACCCTATAGGGGGGTCCTATCTTGGTTACCATGATGGCAAGAACAAATGTATAAGTGAGTGATTTCGAGTCAGCCACCCATATTCTCTAATATTTGAATAAAAAATGAGGAAAACGTATTAAATTAGGAAAAAAATTTCAATGTATAAGACCACCTTAACACACGAAACCAGTGCGCCATATTCCCCACACCAAAATGGCACTGCATGTAGAGAGAGCGTGGCGGAGTTTATTTAGCATGGCTAGATGCATTCTATTAGAAGCAAATCTCCCCAAACGTTTGTGGACGTATGCTGTAATGACAGTTGTGTATATTAGAAGTAGGTGTTTTAATTCTAGGTGAGGAAAAACTCCGTATGAAGCACTGACAGGTAAGCAACTTAATCTTAGCAATATGCATGTCTTTGGCTCAACATGCTATGCCTTTGTTCAAAATGCTAAGAAATTAGACGACCGGAGCCGTAAAGGTGTTTTTGTAGGTTATGATAAAGACAGTCCAGCATACCTGGTATACCATCCAGAAACAAACAAGGTGAAAAAGGTAAGATGCGTGAAATTTTTTGATAATTTTAAAACTGAGCCTGAGGCGTATAATGACGACCAAGATGAATTAATTGTGCCAAATAGAAAACACGTTGAAACTACGGTAAATACTAACGAGCAAATGGATGAAAATGCTGGTACCGCAGAGGTAGAGAACAACGCGGCGAGATATCTAACACGCACTCGCAACAAACCAAGGTATCTTGATCAGCCTATTATTGACGACAATGTTAACCGCACTGTTGATTATTGCTTTAGGGCTGTAGACATTCCAAAATGTTACAAGCAAGCAATAAAATCGCCGGAGGCTAACAAGTGGCAAAATGCCATGAATGCAGAGGTAAGCGCATTAAACGATAACAATACGTTTGAGTTAGTCCCACAACCAAAGGATCGACAGATAGTGGGGGAAGATGGGTTTACGCCGTAAAAATCGGCCAAAATGGGGAAGAAACCCATAAAGCAAGATATGTAGCTAAAGGGTGTTCTCAAATTCCTGAGATTGATTATCAGGAAACGTTTGCCCCGACAGTTCGCATGAGCTCAATTCGTACATTGCTACAACGTGTTATGCAGAATGACATGATCATTCACCAAATGGATGTCAAGACCGCCTACCTTAATGCGCCTATAGATTGTGAGCTCTATATGGAACAACCAGAAGGTTTTGAGGAACATGGTGAGAATGGTGAAAAATTAGTGTGTAAATTAAATAAGTCATTATATGGTTTAAAGCAAAGTGGGAGAAACTGGAATAATTTATTACACGAGAATCTGCAAAAGGAGGGTTTTACTCAGTCGCAGGCTGATCCATGTGTGTATGTGAGAATCATTGACTCGAAGCGATGTGTTATAGTAATTGTATGGGTTGACGATATCATTATCGCAGCCAGTCATTTTGAATTACTAACAACTGTAAAAGAATCTTTAGGTGAAAGGTTCAAAATGAAAGACCTAGGTAAGCTATCGTGGTTTTTAGGTGCAGAGTTTAAATGCAAGGAATCTTGCATCGAAATGAATCAGAAACAAATATTGGGAAAGTATTGTTAAAGTTTGGGATGGCTGATTGCAAGCCCAAGCCTACTCCATGTGTTTTAGGTATCGAGAAGGTCTCAGACGAAGAATCACCAAGCTTAGAAGACCCAGGTGAGTATAGGGCTATTGTTGGGAGATTAATATACGTTATGATAGGCACCAGGCCTGATTTGTGCTATATAGTGACGAAGCTCTCACAGTAAATGTCTAAGCCGACAAGAGCCAATCTCGACTTGGCTAAACACGTTTTAAAATATTTGAGGGGTACATCTGAGCAAGGTTTGACATTTAGGAAGTCACACGTTCCGCTAAAGTTGAACGGATTTTGTGACTCCGACTGGGGCGCCTCAGTTGCCGACAGGCGAAGTATAACTGGCTATAATTTTCAGTTGTCTTTAACAGGTCCTTTAATATCCTGGAAGAGCCGTAAGCAACCAATAGTTGCACTCTCTACATGCGAGGCAGAATATATTGCGCTTGCAAATGCCGTACAGGAGGCAAAATTTTTGAGACAATTATGTATCGACATGAAGGTACTAAGTATAAGTGATGATAATGTACTTACTCAAGTAGATAATCAGGGAGCTATAAACTTAGCTAGAAATCCCGTACACCATCAAAGGTCGAAACATATAGATACTAAGTATCATTTTATAAGATCCGAGATACAGGTAGGTATCATAAGTTTAAAATATGTTCCTACTGAGGACAATATAGCTGACGTCTTCACAAAGCCAGCTAGCAAAGCCAGCTAGCAAAGCCAGCTAGCGCTGCGTAATACAAATATATTAGAAATTAACAAATTATTTATCTAATGTGATTTATAGATTCTCAGAACATAAGAGCAAGTGGGGGTGTTTGAATATGCTCCTGATATTCTGTTGACAATAATAATAAGATTATTAGTTAATGAATGACATTTGTTAATATAGGTATGTATGTAAAATGTAATCTCTGGATACCACAAATTCCAGTACAAATAGTTGCTCCATGTACCAAACTGTATACCATTTATGGTACTAGAATGTGATACTGTATGTCAAAATACTTATTATAGATATAATCTTGTATATTATATGTGTGATTTATATTATTAAATACATTCCTTTGTAAAACTCAAAAGTTGTATGTTGTGCTTCGTATTCGAGAAAGAGCGATGGCAACGGTACAAAACCCAACAAGAATACTCAGAGAATTACAGGCCAATTTCTCTCCTGACAATTATTTCGAAAGTTTTAGAACGGTGTATTTTCATGAACATTCGATAACACTTTTCTCGGATAATTTATGATTACCAGCACGGATTCCTCGAAGGAAATCTTGTGTGACTAATTTGTTAGAAGCATTAGAATACATCGGCGCCTGTCTGGATAAGGGAGGGCAGGTAGATATGGTATACCTTGACATGTCAAAAATATTTAACTGAATCAACCATAAGCGATTGACGCAGAAATTAGCAAATTCGGGTATTGGCGGTAACCTGCTAAACTGGTTTCAATCATACTTGACCGACCGTCTTAAACGTGTTACTGTACTTGGTGTAACATCGAAGCCTCTACCAATTTGTTCAGGCGTTCCAGAGGGATCAATACTCGGTCCTGCACTGTTTCTTCTTTACGTGAATGACCTACTCGAAGCACCCACGACAGATCGAGCTGCAATGTTTGCCGATGACACCAGGATATTCTCCGCAATTAAAGGCTTGAAAAATAAGCCTGGCCATGGTGGGCATCGAACCTACGAACTTTGAAATACTAGCCCACCATTTTTCAAGCCTGCCCGGTATGGATATACACTCAGAGTAACATCACACAATCATCTTATTCACCTGAGTACATTACACCAACATTGCAAATGTAGAATAATTATTTAAACGTTTCACTAATGCATTCATCATAGTCCCTGCTTTTATCATCCATTATGGTCAAATAAGTGTCTTTTATCATTATCAACATCCGCAATTTCATCACAATGGCATCGTGGACAGAACGCAATCACATTTGTAAAATTCACATCGTACAGTTTAGAATGACAAATCATGCAGCGACATTTGGTACATTTCGGATAAATATCTACACGCGAATACAGGACAGGTGGTGTTAAATGTTGTGTTAAAGTCTTCATCCGCAGATCGTGTAACCGGCCATGACTGCTTGTGGGCTAACATGGCAAGCATTTTTATTAACAATAAAACCTGTAAGAAATATTTTCAATCCAGCCGGTTCTAAAATTTCAGCATTATACGTAAAACCGTATACTACAAAATATCTACAACATTGTTTCCATGCATATTTTGCAATTTGTATATATTTCCCCTTTGCAGATTCAATGTGAGACTATCGGTAGATGTAAAAATGCCGTGAAGAAGTTTTTCTCAATGTTTTTATTAAAGGGTATTGGCAATAAAAATTTTCTATTGCTTTATCTGAAAGAGTATGAAAAAATAAGCCGATTGGCCTTTTACTGCTCTATTCTATCCCATCTGGTTCCGAAGTTATACGCAAAAATGGGTAAAATATAAATTGCTGATTCAGCACAACGTATGACGTCATTTGTTGGGTAAATATGTTTAATGAATACAAGGTAATTCCAAGAATTTTGTTGCCAAGGTAACAGTGTCGTTCCTAGGCCCCTTGCCCCAATTCTATAAAACAGCTTTATTCATGGTACTGATAAGGATAAAATAATATCAGGAGTATGTGTACCATACCTATGCATGCCAAAAGTTTACTTGCATGATAATGACATACACATAGGTGAATGCAACTAGTTATTTAAAATCGTTTTAAGGGGCCTGGGAACGACTGTGTTGCCTTGACAACAAAA